ATCTGATTGGCTTCACCTTGCTATGTTTTCTGCTGAAGCCAAGATCTCGTGGGGAGACACAGCTGAGGGTTCCTGTTTAAAGTATTCTTTAGAAGCCTGCTTTGAGAGTCCACCTTATTTCAAAGGCTGCGCTCATCTTTCTTTTTGTTTTGGAATTCTTTTAATTGCCAGCAACAAAAGAGAGATTTGGCTGCCTCTATTTTTAGGTTACTGTCAATTGTCTTCTCTCTCCCCCCTCCCCCCAGTGATTTTATTTAAGACGTTATGCCTCTGTTTTAGATAGCACCGCATTGATCCGGTGTCTGAGCAGTGTCTTGAGTCACCAGATCGGTGACATTAAATCCTGGCGAAACAAATAGGATGAAACTGTATAAATACTGTGCAAATTCATTCCTCCCCAGGCAGAAAGTTATTCCCAGTTTGCCTCGCTCAACCCACCAGTTATGTCAAACAAAAAATGATGGCCATTTTGCTAGTAAAATGTACTCCTTCCTAGCAGGCCTGCCCAATGGCAAAGGGGTGTGTATGTCCAAATGGTGTACAGCCATAGACGGGAGACGAAACACTGGGATTCCTTTATGAATCCATCATTTTTTAGATGGGGTGGAGTTTAGGACAGGTGGGACTGTTGTTGTTTGTTGTTTAGTCATTCAGTCGTGTCCGACTCTTCGTGACCCCATGGACCAGAGCACGCCAGGCCCTCCTGTCTTCCACTGCCTCCCGGAGTTGGGTCAAATTCATGTTGGGCACTTCGATGACCCTGTCCAGCCATCTCGTCCTCTGTCGTCCCCCTTCTCTCCTCTTGCCTTCACACTTTCCCAACATCAGGGTCTTTTGCAGGGAGTCTTCTCTTCTCATGAGATGGCCAAAGGATTGGAGCCTCAGCTTCAGGATCTGTCCTTCCAGTGAGCACTCGGGGTTGATTTCCTTCAGAATGGATAGGTTTGTTCTCCTTGCACTCCAGGGGACTCTCAAGAGTCTCCTCCAGCACCACAATTCAAAAGCACCAGGGACTAGATGGGGGCATTAATTGGCCACAACCGCTAGTGTCCATCTCTACTGGAAGAAGTATTTCATTTGGAGCTTTCCAAGATGCTGTTTTTGCCTCCAGCATCAGCTATATAGAAGATACAGTAACCAGGAAGAGTGGTGGTGGTTATTATGTATTATAACCAGGAAGAGTGGTGGTGGTTATTATTTATTATTATTATTAATCATCATCTTAGAACTTCAGAGCTGGAAGGGATCCTATGGATCATCAAGTCCAGCATTTGTCAAGGAGGGCAATGGGGAATCAAACTCCCAGCTTCTGGCTCCACAGCGAAACCACTGAGCTATACGGTCCTCCAGAGAAAACAGGTCCCCTATATCTGGTGGCCAGAGGTAGTCCACACTTCTCAGAACAATCTATGAGGTTAAAGCTCTTTAATCCTCCCCTGGAATGCCTTGGCTATAGAGAGGAGAAATCAGAGGATATGCTCTTATTACATGGATGGACAGTTTTGGCTGTCTGGAAGTTTCAGGACTACAAATTCCAGCAGCCCTAGCCAGCGCGACGAATGTTGCAGGATCAGAAGAACTTTAGTTCCAGAATGTCTCGAGGGCTGAAATGGCCTACTTTTGCTCTCGTTAAATTGAGATGGCCCCGGTTGCCGGTGCCTCCAGGGTGAACCTCACACGCTTTTCGACTGGAGGGCAAACAATTCATGATGATTTGCCCCACATCAAGGAACATACTATCCAAAGCCAGGCAGGACATTTCAAAAACCTTGAACTACAAAGACTCTTTAATAATGATCATGAATTGTCAAGTCAATTCTGACTTGTGGTGACCCATTTCAGGGTTTTCCTGATAGACAATACTCAGAAGTGGTTTACCACCGTTTCCTGATAGACAATACTCAGAAGTGGTTCACTATCATCGCTTCTTCTGGGGTGCCCTGGGACGGTGCAGCTGGCCCAAGGCCACCCAGGCTGGCTCTTCTCCCTGGAGGCACACAATGGGGGGATCGAACTCCCCACCTCTGGCTCCACAGCCAGATACAGGAACCTTTGAGCTATCCAGCCAGCTGAAGAGCTTATCCACAAGGCGGGAGCAACAAATATCACCACTAAGCATTTGCTTCCCCTTCCTGAACTCAAAATTTGCTGCCTGAAGCAGCAACCTAAGTTTCCTCATGGAAGGATGAGGCCTGCAACTTCCAAGGCCCTCTGAGATAGCACCAACATGGAGTTCCATAAATACAGTGGACCCTCTACTTATGGAATTAATCCGTATTGGAACGGTGGCTGCAAGTCGAAAAGTCTGTAGGTCGCATCTCCATTGACCTACAATGCATTGAAAACCGATCAATCCTGTAACTGGCAGTTTTTATTCTATTTTTGTTCCATTTTGGTTTTTTTCTGGTCTGTAAGGCGATTCTCCGGCTGCAAGTCGAATCTAAATTTTGCGGCCAGAGAAGTCTGTAACTCGAAAAGTCTGCAAGTCGAGCCGTCTGTAAGTCGAGGGTCCACTGTAATTGCCTCCATAGATAGAGGAATGTGGTGATACAGTCCAGTTTCATTTGCGCTTTCGTGGACTTAACCCACGCCATCAGAACCACGGAGCACTAATATTCCAGCTCCAGGGTTCGAGGAGCACTCGTTCTGCGTGCAGGGTAGAACAGCATGAACTAAAGCCACCGAAAACCATGACTCTGTTTCTAACACCAGCCAGGCATTTTCAAAGGGTTGGTGAGCATAAACATTCTGGCAACAGTAGGCCGAGCTACACTATGTGATTACCCTTCGAGTTGTTAAAGCAATGTTAATGTGCTTACCAGAGAGCCTTTGTTTTAGTTAAAGATAGAAGATTTGCTTTGTCTCTTAGTCCCATGGGGGAAAAAAATCATTTAAGTCATACACAGTAGGGCAGTAATGTAGAGAAACTTGCAAGGATAAGCTAGTTTATGACTACTGTTGATAATACAATAGTCATTTTATGGTTGCTGTTTCATTCCATCCATCCCACCGCCATAACTAGAAGTAGTGTGCACATATAAAGCCTGGAGATTGACTGTTGTGCTTCATGTGTCTGAGGGTGTAGGACAGATCTACAAAACAAAAAGCACATTTAGATAAAACCCTTAGTCTTACGGGCCCTGTACAAGCCCCTGTGTTGCTTTCTTTGCTTGAAATGTCTGAACTCGGTTACCTCCTTGGGAACACAACAGCAAAAAGGACGACACTGTGATTGTGACGCTGATTGCACAGCCAGGGTGAAAGCAATGAAGCCTACACTTCATGACTACACTGTTTGGGGACATGGTTGATTGACAGGGTTATCCCCCACCTCTTTTCCCCCAAGCCAATGAAGGTGCAACCTGATAGCTAGAGAGAGAGAGAGAGAGAGAGAGAGAGGTCTTGCCTTTTAGATTAAGGATGTATGGCTTTGTAATTTAAGAGCGATTGCTGCAGGGAAACTGGTATGTGTGTGTCTCCTCCAGATTATGAATGTGAAGAAAACGTATGCATGTAGGTATGCCCTTGATGACACTGTCTGTCTTGATGCATCAAGGCTGCCTTGTCAAGGAATCACTAAGTCTGTACTAGAATTTGCCAGAGTACTGTAGGCACAAATCAAGAAAAGCCTGGTGTAGGAGTCAAGGATTTGTACAAAATGGCTCTGTGCAAAACTAATGTCTTTCCCCTTGCCCAGTAGGCACAGGACTATCTGATTGTCCATTAAGATATAAATAACCCATCCCATGCTTCAAAACTTTTTTTTTTTAAAGGCAGCGCAATTGTCATTTTGAACATTTGTGCAATTTGGAACCACACATTCAAAAACTGTTTTCATAAATGTAACCCCTCTTATTAAGTATAACACAAAACACCGCAACCTCTTGCAGGCAAGGAGGGGGGGGAAGGAGGGGTGGCTTTGCCCTTTTCATTTACAAGAATGAAATAAGCAAGCGTTTACGTCTCTGTTCTCGTTCGCAGTCCTAATCTGGCCTGCAGGAGAGTCACGGTGGGGCTGGGAGCCTCTAGAGCAGTGGTGTCCAACCTTGGCCCTCCAGATGTTCTTGGACTTCAACTCCCAGAAGCCTTCACCACCACCTCTGCCGGCCAGGACACCACTGCTCTAGAGGCTTCCCTGCCATGAACACTGCCCTCTACAGACTGGAGGACTTCGTTAATAAACCAAGCTATGTCTTTTCCCCCAATGGATGAGGATTCCAGTAATCTCTGATGGGGGAAGCACCAAAAAAAGAAAGAAAGAAAGAAAGAAAAGAAAAGAAACACCATGATGTTTCTAAGGGACCATCCTACTTGCTGGAGCGTCCTTGCTCAAGGTTGTCTACTGCTCTACCGGATCCTCTCAGGCAGCCGCTCCAAAGAAAGCCAGGAAATCATCCACTGGAGGCCAGGCCTTCTTTGTGGTGGCACCAACACTTTGGAAGCAACACCTGGCAGAGCGGTGCCTGGCCCCCTGCCTCCCAGTGTTTAGAAGGCTTCTGAGAAAACTGCTTTTCCTGCCTGATTTTATGCCTCACGTTCCGCCTTCTATTTGAAAACTATGCTTCTTTACTGTCTGGTTGTTTTTATGTACAATGTTATTGCTGTTGGGTTCTATTTTAGCACACTCAGAAGAGCGTGTCACGCTAATGGAGTGGTATATAAATTAATAATAATATTAGAACTGCCGAGCTGGAAGGGACCCAGTGGATCATTGAATCCGGTCAAGGAGGCTCAGTGGGGGATCAAATTCCTGACCTCTGGCTCCAGAAGAGCGTGTCACGCTAATGGAGTGGTATAAAAATTAATAATAATATTGGAACTGCCGAGCTGGAAGGGACACAGTGGATCATTGAATCTGGTCAAGGAGGCTCAGTGGGGGAATCAAATTCCTGACCTCTGGCTCCAGAGCCAGATGCTTAAACCACTGAGCTATCCAGCAGTTAAAAAATTTATATATATATATACACACACATACATACGGTAAATAATAAGGGCCTCACCATTTCCCCATGGACAGCTAAGCTCCCGTCTCACTGGGCTCATATATGGAGGTTGAATCCTAGAGGAAATACAGTTTTGTTTATTTTTCTAAAACTTGTTTAACATCTTCTGTTCTTATTTTATGCACCGGTGACGTTGATCATCCAACCAGAGAAAGTGGTAGCTCTAAATAATCTTTGTACTTAAAACAGAAAAGGAAAAAGAAAAAGAAAGGGGGAAAAAATATCAGACAAGCATTTTAGAAGTAGGGAGAAATAAATGCCAGAAACATGTTCAGGACTGAATAAAATCGGTACAGTAGCTTCAGCTCTAGCCTCTCTGACAATCTTGTACCACTCCAGAGGATGTCAATTGTTAAAAATTTTAATGGCACTGCAGCTTGCAAAAAAATAAAAATATATAAAAAAATCTGTGCTCCCCTCCTTTTCCAAAGAGTCGTTTTGTTATTCTCCTTTGGAATCTAATGCACTTGACTCTCCCCTCTTGCTGAGAGAGACATTTAGGAAAATAGAGAGAGCGGCAGAAACATCGCCTGCAAAACAAAACGCAGTCAGAGGGGTCTAATTAGGCCAAGATTGAAACCGCTCCACCTCATTATATTGAAGAAGAGCCCGCCTTATCTGGATGCGTGCAGGAGCTGAAAATTTTATGCGCATCTCTGGAGAAGAGCAGGGGCTTCAAACAGACATGAGACAATGGGAGAAGAAGCACGGCATACATCTTTGGTTTTGATCCCCTGATAGCAGACGGCCCACGTTTGCCAATGATTCATCCAAGGATATGCCAAATTCTTGCAAGAGATGACTGGATTTTGAATGTGCAATGAACGCAACTATGCCTTGCTTGAGTTGTCTAAAGACACACACCCATACGTCCATGAAAGCTCTACGGAGGAGAGTCGGCTATGGATGAAAGCGGCTGAGATGTGGTGGAAGGCCTACTGAAAAGAAATTGGATGAAAGCGGCTGAGATGTGGTGGAAGTCCTACTGAAAAGGGAGAAGCACCAGGTTGTCGCCCACTGGTTGCAACAGATGGGGAGATGGGATGATGAGGTTTCCTCCAACCAGAACTGCTTTCTCTTGTAGCTCTTCCAGCTAATTCCGGCAGGAGGAGGAGTGAAGGAGCAATAAAGATCTCCGGAAGTTGAGTCATGATGACTGGACTTCTTTCTTCTTAGGTTGAAACGTTTTGTTCCTCATCCAAGCAGCTTCTTCAGTCTGACGAGAGTGGGTCGGAGATCCCTGAGAGATCCTCCATGTTGGCTTCATGTCCCCCTGGTCTGAATCGGCTGTCGTGAATAACCAACGTGGAGGAGATATCGGGGACCTCTTAGTCTCCTCAGAACTGAAGAAGCTGCTTGGATGAGGAACGAAATGTTTCAACTTAATAAGGAAGAAGTCCAGTTGCCATGACTTCAACTTCCAGGTATCTTTATCGCTCATTCACTCCTCCTCCTGCTGGAATCACTTGGAAGATTCTTGTGTTTTTTGAAACCCTACCACCTAGAAGACTACTGGATTTGTTCCAGCTAGAATTCTGGGGTTTTTAGGTCAAACAACAAAAAACCTTCTCAGGTACTTGAGGTAAGTTACATTCAGCATTATGACACTGCAAAGCATTAGGGGTATTGTAGTCTTCCAGTCTGTTCGGCTCCATACATGCTGCTTCTCAGGAAATCCCATTTCAAGTAAGTAAGGCCACATGAGCTGGCCCAAAACCCTCTGGCTTCTCACCCAAACCAATATTCCCTAAGTTTCCATCTGGAACGGCTCCAACCTTGGAAGCCTTCAAGAGAAAATTGGACCACCATCTGTCAGATCTGCTTCCATTTGGATTCCTGCCTTGAACAAGAGATTGGACTCAATGGCCTCAGAGGCCTCTTCCAACTCCATGATTTTCTGATTCTGTGAGCTGGTCATGGCATGCTGTCATCCTAAGAGCCCAGCATGGCTAACAGCCAACTGAGAGGACACAAGACCAGCCAAAGCTGTTCTGTATCCCCATAACCTCCAACCCAAAGGACGGGACACAAGACCAGCCAAAGCTGTTCTGTAACCTCCAACCCAAAGGACAATGGAAATTACTCAGGCCTGCTCTTGACCGAACCTCACTTCACACCAGCATTGCAACAGTTCTCCTGGGAAAGAGGAAGCTGGACCTAGCATGACTGACCTCCATCTCCACCCCACTATTTTGTGTCTCTCCTCCCCCCTCCCCTGTTCTACCACTGCCAGGAATGAGTTGGCAGATCTCTGAGACCAGTTATGGGGAGGAGAGGGTTCTGGTGGCAGAAGGACCCTTCTACTGGCAGAAGAGGTTTGTAAAGGTAAAGGTTCACCTTGACATTTAGTCCAGTCGTGTCTGACTCTAGGGTGCGGTGCTCATCCCCGTCTCCAACCCATAGAGCCAGCGTTTGTCCGTAGACAGTCTCCCGTGGTCGCATGGCCAGCGCGACTAGACACGGAACGCCATGACCTTCCCACCATGGTGGTCCCTATTTATCTGCTCACATTTTTCCATGCTTTCAAACTGCTAGGTTGGCGGGAGCTGGGACAAGCGACGGGTGCTCACTCCGTTGCCTGGATTCGATCTTACGACATCTGGTCTTCTGACCTTGCAGCACAGAGGCTTCTGCAGTTTAACCCACAATGCCACCACGTCCCTATGTTTTCAGACAACCACCATGTTTGTATTCTCCTGAAATTTTGGAGTTCTTTTCTTGGTCCTACTCACTGGCTCCCACCTTTCCAATTGTTTGGGGCCATGGCTCAGAGGTGTGTTGCCAAGGTATGGGCTGAGTCCATTCCATAAGCTTTGGAACGTCCATTAAGTCTATTTCATTTTCACATCATTAAAAGAACCCTCTCAACATATGCACTGAAGTAAGCACAGTAGAACCCCCTTATCCACGGGATCAGTATCTGCTGATTCATTTATCCATCGCCTGGAAATGCTAAATTAAAAAATTCTAGAAATAAATACAGTACATATTCCTAGGGTGTATTTAACAGACCTAGCCACTAGATGGATCTAGATACCATGCAGTGCATAGCAGCTGATATTTCCACATTTCCTGGGAAGCTGGGAACTGATGCATCTAGGAGAAGATGCATCTAGGAGAAGATGCATCTAGAAGATGCATCTAGTCAAATGCATCTAGGCTAGATGCATCTAGGAGAAGATGCATCTAGGAGAAGATGCATCTAGGAGAAGACGCATCTAGTCAAATGCATCTAGGCTAGATGCATCTAGGAGAAGATGCATCTAGGAGAAGACGCATCTAGTCAAATGCATCTAGGCTAGATGCATCTAGGAGAAGATGTATCTAGGAGAAGACGCATCTAGGAGAAGACGCATCTAGTCAAATGCATCTAGGCTAGATGCATCTAGGAGAAGATGCATCTAGGAGAAGACTTATCTAGTCAAATGCATCTAGGCTAGATGCATCTAGGAGAAGATGCATCTAGGAGAAGATGCATCTAGGAGAAGACTTATCTAGTCAAATGCATCTATGCTAGATGCATCTAGGAGAAGATGCATCTGGTCAAATGCATCTTCCCCTTCAATATATGTATTGCAATCAGTTTTATCCATCTAAGTCAGCTGCATTTTTGCTCTCTTGAGAAAAAAAGAAATCCTTCCTCACTTTGCTTCTGCTGTGAATAACCAGCACAGCCCATTCTCTGCAAACCAGACCTGCTGGACGAGCTGCACAGTCCCAAGAGAACCCCAGAAAAAGGGAAGGGGGGACCACTTCTGGGTGTAATCCCCAGAAAACCCTAAAAAGGGCCACCATGTGTCAGAGGCGACTTAACGGCATATAGTGATGACTACCAGTAGTCAAAATGATTCTAAAGCCCATTCAAGGGTCACAAGCTCAGCGCTGGCCCCCAGAGTTCTTCTGATCAATACCAGATCACGCCAAAAGTCGCAAGAGTGGCCATCATGTGCCACCAGACTGGCTGGAGGGTTCCGATCCCATCAGGGGGGGTGAAATTAAGTGGCTTCTTGACCCTCGCTATTCTAATTTTAGCAGCCTAACCATAGTTGTCTCTCCCTCCCATGATGGGGAGTCAAAGGGGGGGGGTCCAAGTTCCTTCCCTTCTTCTTTTCAATATTGGAAAAGCCATTACCGCCCTCGACTCCCTTCTTAATCATCCTTTCCCCCCATGCTCGGCGTTTCCATTCTTTGCCTGCCTCCCGTGACCCGTCATCACACATTCCAGATGCTTTATTGTCTGCGTGGCTCTTCCCCGATCTGTTCGGCATCATTAATATATTTGAATATATTTATTCCCCCCCGCCTGCTGCCACCCTCCTTAAAGCCCGTGGAAGGGAGGAAAGTGTCATTATCCCCGTTTTCTTTTATTACAGCATGCTTCATTTATTGAGAGGAGCAATGTCTCAAAGCATTTGGATAATGAGATGTTTGGATAAACAGGCGTGCCTTTGACAAAGGCTGGCATCTTCAGGAGGCTACCTAGGAAGAGCAAACAACTCGGGGTGGGGGGTGGGGAAAAAAAAGGATTTTGCAAACAGTCCCAGAGGTGGTCAAGATGTACCTGGGGGTTTGCATGCTGGATCATGCCCTCACTGGACTTCCTCACCGCCCACGGAGGCTGGGATTTCTAGCATGCCAAGGAAAGTAAATCCGCTGTGGGTTTTTGCCTGAAATTTAAAAGGGCTTTTCAAAATATTGCACCCATCTGAGTTTTCTTTCGTTCTTCAGGATTCAGGGCCTTAGTCCATCCCATGATGGGGAGTCAAAACGGGGGTACATGCTTTCGAACGGCTAGGTTGGCAGGAACTGGGACAAGCGACGGGAGCTCACTCCGTCGTGTGGATTCGATCTTACGACGGCTGGTCTTCCGACCTTGCAGCACAGAGACTTCTGCCGCTTAACCCGCAGTGCCACCACTTCCCCAAGGCAGCTTGGGGCCTATCAATTTGGATTTAAACTCATTTGTCCTCCCTACTACCCACAGAGGCCAGGGTCTCTAGCATGAATGAATGAATCTGCTGATGGATCCACTGTGGGTTTTTGTCTGAAATTTAAAAGGGCTAACTAAGGCATTGCGCCTGTTTGCGTGGTGGTGGTTTAGGATTCAGGGTTTATTTTATTATATTTTATTCTAATAAT